TGTGGGGGGCAGAAATGCATGTTACCACCATGGAGGCTACTAAAGACCCTTTCTCTGGGCTGGTTAAGCAGTTCCTAGAAAAATGGGATCAAGGCCCTCCTTGGTGGAGCAGTGGGTTAAAGCACAGCATTAAGAAGCTAAAGCCACTTGGCCTGAGTTCCATCCCCAACCCGAGGTGACCCAACAAGGCGCAGCAGACCTCTCCTGAAACCATAGCCCACTGCTCCCCCCAGCAGTGTACTTTGTTGATCTGCCTCTTCTGCTCCCCACTCTGTCTCTGGTGAATCCTCTCACTGTCCTTGCACCTCTGGCCTGTACCCCAGTTCTGTATGCATAAAAAAATAAATCTTTAAAAAAAAATGGGATTAGGCAGAGTTCTCAACCATTATTCCTTCTCTCTACATTTTATGATTTTAAAATATCATGGAGATATTTCCTTTTGGAAAACCCCAACACACAACTCACTGTTAATCAAGTCCCTTCTGCTACTAAAATATCAGTTTCTATTGATCTCAGGAAGTTTCTCTCACTTAGCTTGCAACCTCTCCCAATGTCTGGCCTGTGCCATGAGTTGGCTGTTCCTTATTAAAAATAAATAAATAAATAAAATTAATATATATATATATTTATATATTCTAAAAACAACATTCTTTTAGTACAATGAAGCTTTGCCTATTAATCCTTACTTCAAAGGTAGATGGGGAAACTTAGCATTAAGGAGGGAGTGGAGAGAGAGGTAATGCCAAAATATTAGGGTGCATGTCAACTGGATCGCTGGATATATGTGTGTGTGTGTGTGTGAAAGTATAAGAAATATATCGGAAGGATGTACATCGAATTCATCATGATAATTATGGGTGGAGGAGAAGGCTTGGAAACTTGGAAAGGAGGCTTTATTTTTATTTATAATGGTGTAATGGAATTTTAAAAAAACAATAGGTTCATATTATACCTTAAACTTAATAAAAAATATATACATAGGCAAAACACTGAAAACAAGATGTCATAATAATAGGTTATGGACATATATATATATAATCTTTTCTTTGAATATTTTCTGTATTTTTAATAACTATGCACGTCAATTATGGATATATGTATTTTAAATATTGTTGGGAGGAAAAATCAAGTGCATATATCCCTATAAAGTCACAGCCGAAGTCCAGAAGGATATGCTGTACTAAACTAACGGTTAACTCTATGCAAGGAATTTAGGATAGGAGTCAAAGGTAAAAGAACTTTTATATTTTATAAACAAAGTTTTACTATTTTGCAATAATTTACGATATTGTTAGTAACTGAAAATCAAAACACGAATTTTCAGAGAAAAATGCTTAGAACCACGCCCTTGTTTTTGGCTTTTTGAACTACTGGTGCAGGAAACCAAAATTCATTAATTTCTCCCGGAGATACGTAACCCGAATCTTGTGGGTTAATCCGAGGTCCCCTGGTTAGATATGCAACTTGAAATTAAAACTGCTTTTCGCTCTAAACACCTGTGAAGCAAGTCTAGATCTAAATATTGGCGCAAATAGTTTCTCTTAAAGATGTGGCACATTCTGAACAGTTCTGTTCTCATCCAGTAAAACATTAAGCAAGAAAACAAAAAAGGGCGTATTGTAATTGCATGAAGACATTATAAGGAGTTTACTGAAGCAGCGCTCTCGCATGTAGGTAGCGTGGCCGAGCGGTCTAAGGCGCTGGATTAAGGCTCCAGTCTCTTCGGGGGCGTGGGTTCGAATCCCACCGCTGCCACAACGAGTTCTTTTGTCTCGGCTCGCAGAAATTTTCGCCTGTTTTGATGGTGCGGTAGCGCCCCCTGCCGCCCTGCTGAGCTGGCGGCCGGAATGAATGGAGAGGCCGAGGGGCGGGCCCGCCTGCGCCAGGGCGGGGCATTGTGGGTAAGAGGAAGCTCGAGAGCCCGCCCCTCTCCCCCCACGTGTCAGCCGGAGTTTCTCCACCAGCAACATGGCCGCTGCCTGAGAGGAGAACCGGGCCGCCGCCACTGCAGCCCTCAGGTACCAGGGCCGTTGCCGCCGCCCGCGTGCGGGTCCCGCGGAGAGGTGAGTGCCCAGTTGGCAGCGCCCGCCGTGACCCGAGCTGGGCCGCACCCCAAGGTGGGCCCGGGCCGGACTGCCGAGTAGGCCGGGAGGCCC